TGATGATGCTGATCATGATGATGATGATGGTGATGCTTATGATGGCGATGCTGATGATGATGATGATAGTGAGTTGATGATGATGACGATGATGATGATGCTGACGATGATGATGATGCTGATGATGTTGATGCTGATGATGATGATGGTGGTTGTGGTGATGATGATGACGATGATGGTGATGGCGATGATGATGATGATGATGATGATGATGGTGATGGTGATGATGGTGGTGATGATGATGATGATGATCAGGATGAGGATGATGATGATGTTGATGATGATGATGGTGGTGGTGGTGAGGATGATGATGGATGATGATGATGCTGATCATGATGATGATGATGATGATGATGATGATGGTGATGCTGATGACGGTGATGCTGATGATGATGATGATGATGATGATGATAGTGAAAATGATGATGATGATGACGATGATGCTGATGCTGACGATGATGATGATGATGCTGATGATGATGACGATGATGATAATGCTGATGATGATGATGATGATGATGATGATGATGCTGATGATGATGATGATGATGATAGTGGTGGTGGTCATGATGATGATGATGATGATGATGATGATGATGATGAAGATGCTGAAGATGATGATGATGATGATGCTGCTGATGATGACAATGATGATGATGATGCTGACGATGCTTACGATGATGCTGATGCTGATGCGAACGCTGATGATGTTGCTGATGCTGGTGATGATGAGGATGACGAATAATAATACGATGATGCTGGTGATGATATGTTGTTGATGATGATAATGGTGATGGTGGTGATGGTGGTGGTGATGATGATGCTGGTGGTGGTGGTGGTGATGCTGGTGTCGGTGTCTGTGATCATGATGATGATGATGATAGTGATGCTGATGATGATGATGATGATGATGATCAGGATGAGGATGATGATGATGATGATGTTGATGATTATGATGATGGTGGTGGTGAGGATGATGATGGATGGTGATGATGCTGATCATGATGATGATGATGATGATGATGATGATGATGATGATGGTTATGCTGATGATGGTGATGCTGATGATGATGATAGTGAATCTGATGATGATGACGATGATGATGATGATGATGCTGACGATGATGATGCTGATGATGATGCTGATGATGATGATGGTGGTGGTGGTGATGATGATAGTGATGGCGATGATGATGATGATGATGATGATGATGATGATGATGATGATGATGATGATGATGATGATGATGATGATGATGATGATGATGATGATGATGATGATGATGATGATGATGATGATGATGATGATGATGATGATGATGATGATGATGATGATGATGATGATGATGATGATGATGATGCTGATGATGATGATGATGATGATGATGATGATGATGATGATGATGATGATGATGATGATGATGATGATGATGATGATGATGATGATGATGATGATGATGATGATGATGATGATGATGATGATGATGATGATGATGATGATGATGATGCTGATGATGATGATGATGATGATGATGATGATGATGATGATGATGGTGATGATGCTGATTATTCAGAAGATGATGATGATGATGATTGATGATGATGATGATGATGATGATGATGATGATGATGATGCTGATGATGCTGATGCTGATGATGATGATGATGATGATGATGATGATGAGGAGGAGGAGGAGGAGGAGGAGGAGGAGGAGGAGGAGGAGGAGGAGGAGGAGGAGGAGGAGGCGGAGGCGGAGGCGGAGGCGGAGGCGGAGGCGGAGGAGGAGGAGGAGGAGGAGGAGGAGGAGGAGGAGGAGGAGGAGGAGGAGGAGGCGGAGCGAGCGTGGCGCGGCGCGACCCGCGACGACACCGGGCCCCCGGGGGGCTCCAGCGGCCGACCCACCCTGATCGACGGCGACCCGCGACGTCGGCGGCCCGCGGCGACGCGCAACGCCAGCGGCGACGACGGCGACGACGACGACGATGACGGCGACGATAAGGACGAGGACGACGACGACGACGACGACGACGACGACGACGACGACGACGACGACGACGACGACGACGACGACGACGGCGGCGACGACGGCGACGACGGCGACGACGACGACTACGACGACGACGACGACGGCGAGCAGCCCGCGGCGACGGGCGGCGGCCGGCGGCGGAGGCGGTGGCGACCGCGGCCCTCTGGATGGCGGCGGCTGTCGGCGGCCCGCCAGCGGCGGCCTGGCGGCGCTACGCCGCCGCGGGCCGCGGTGGCCCCTCCCTGAGGTCCTGGCGTTGCAGCTGCGTGGGGCCGAGGGTCAGAGATTGCCTTCTGCAGGACCACCAAAAAGTGGACGTCGAGGCGGTCGAACGCCTCGCCGGTTGAGCCGACGAAGGTGTGCAGGGTCCAGCCAGTCGCTGATGTCCAAAGAGTTTTGGCTTGGCCCACGGTGTGGTGCATCCACTCCTGCCGGACCGAACCGGTTGGTTGCGCCCCTTGACGTTCGTTTGGGGTGTTCTGCAGACCCGACGCCCAGCCCTACTCAACGCAGTTTTCCTAACAACGGGCGCTTTCGCCCCGCTTCGGGCACTGGGACCCTCGCATGCATCGGTCCGGCTCGAAACATGGCGCAGGAAGACAGGTTTTCTGGGGCTCCGGTCGTGCGCAGGAAGACAGGGTTTCTGGGGCTCCGGTCGTGATTTTTCACGCTGTCTCCGGTTTTATTCGCAACGTAGGATCTCGGGCCCAGACATCCACCGATCTGATTTCTCAATCCGCGGCCCCAGAGGTCCCGACCCCTTCCTCGGGAGTGTTTTTTTCGTCCTGGATTCATTTATGATGGTCCCCGGGCCCGATGACGGGCCCTGGAGGCCGAAATCCAGGGACATCCGCTGGAGCGAACACATTTTTTCTTCGGGTCTCTGGGGGGCTACGGCGTGTGCCGGCGGCGCCGTCCGGCGGCGGTGGGTCTCGACGGTCAGCCGGGGCCCGGGGGTGGAAGCGGAGGAGGGAGAGTAGGTGGAGGGGGAGGGGGAGGGGGAGGAGGAGGAGGAGGAGGAGGAGGAGGAGGAGGAGGAGGAGGAGGAGGATGAGGAGGAGGAGGAGAAGGAGGAGGAGGAGGATGAGGATGAGGATGATAATGAGGATGAGGATGAGGATGAGGATGAGGGCGAGGATGAGGATGAGGATGAGGATGAGGAGAAGGATGAGGATGATGATGATGAGGAGAAGGAGGATGAGGAGGAGGAGGAGGACCAGTGTAAACCCAAGAGTCATCAACAATGTCGAAATTAACCCTCCCTCCAAGCTCCCTCTTCAGAGGCTCCTACAATGGTGCATTTCCACTGAGGGAACTGCCTCGTTGGAAGCACGCCAAAACATCGTTCTCGGGTTCCCAACGCCACGGATTAACCTGACTGTTGCGTCTTGACGATCCTGAATTGTACCAGAACGCCATTCTTGGGACTTCAACACCGCGAATTAACCTAACTGTCACACCCTCATTATCCTGAATCTTTCCAGAACGCCATTTCTGGTAATTACTCTGATCATGGGAATCCGTGAAACTCCAAATTTTGAAAACGAATGTGCGCGGCGCTCAGGCGAGAGGCACATTTTGAAAATCAGCCGCCCTCAACTTATGAAGCTCTCGCAACTTTTTACAACGAATGCGCGCGGCGCTAAGACGTCAGCCACATTTTGAAAACGACCCGCCCTCAATCCGTGAAGCTCCTGTGTCAAATTTGAAAAACACATGTACGCGGCGCGAAGGCGAGAGCCACAATTTGGAAACGACCCGCCCTCAATGCGTGAAGCTCTTGCAAATTTGACACGCGAATGTGCGCGGCGCTAAGGCGAGAGCCACATGTTGAAGACCACCCGCCCTCCATCTGTGAAACTCTTGTCATTTTTTGAGCTTCACGGTCATAAATGGTGAGGAAGTCTCCGATGAAATGCCCGGACCGCCCTAAAAAGTGGCCTCGGGGTACGACAGGGAGAAGTTATGTATAAGGAAAAGGAATGAAGGAGGAGGAGGAGGAGGTGGAGGAGGAGGAGGACCAGTGTAAGCCCAAGAGTCATCAATGATGTTGGAATTAACCCTTCCTCCAAGCTCCCTCTTCATAGGCCCCTACAACGGTTCACATGCATTGAGGGAACTGCCTCGTTGGAAGACAACCGCTTGAAGGCCTTGAAGCATGTCAAAACATTGTAGTCGGGGGTTCCACGCCACGGATCAACCTGACTGCTGCGTCCTTAAGATTTGGAATCGTGCCAGAACGCCCTTTTTGGGACTGCAACACCGCGAATCATCATAATTGTTGCACCCGCATAATCCTGGGACGTTGATCATGGGAGTCCGTGGAACTCTTACAATTTTTGAAAACGAATGTGCGCGGCGCTGAGGAGAAAGCCACATTTTGGAAACGACCCGCCTTCAATCCGTGAAACTTCATCGAATGTTTAAAAAGAAGGTGCGCGACGCTAAGACGAGAGCCACATTTTGAAAATGAGCCGGCCTCAATCTGTGAAACTCTTGCAACTTTTTGAAACGAATGTTGTGCGCGGCGCTAAGACGAGAGCCACATTTTGAAAACGACCCGCCCTCAATCCGTGAAGCTCTTTCAAATAAAAAAAACGCATGTGCGCGGCGCTGAGGCGAGAGCCACATTCTGAAAACCACCCGTCCTCGATCCGTGAAGCTCTTGCAACTTTTTGAGACGAATGTGCGCGACGCTGAGGCGAGAACCACACTTTGAAAACGACCCGTCCTCAATCCGTGAAGCTCCTGTTGCAAATTTTTACAGCGAATGTGCGCGGCGCTAAGGCGAGAGCCAGCCACATTTTGAACGCCACCCGCCCTCCATCTGTGAAGCTGTGGCAATTTTTCAAGCTTCGAAGCCGTCAGTGGTGAGGCAGTCTCAGGTGAAACGCCCGACCCGCCCTAAAAAACTGGCGTCGGGCTGCGACAGGGAGGAGATGGAGGGGGGGGGCATCCTGGGCGCTCTGCCAGGAGCGGCAGCGCGCCGCCGCGCTGCGCGCGCCGGGCGGCGCGGGGGCGGCGGACCCGCTGGCGGTGGACGGCGAGGTCCTTCCCCCCGGGCTGGGCGGCCGCTGGCGGTCGGCCAACGCGGCCTCGAGCGGCATGCCTTCTGGCTTCCACATTTATCGGCGGCGAGTGAGGGGGGAAGTGAGAAGGGGACGGCCTTCTCAGGAGGCGGCGGGACTTCTCAGAAGCCCTCGCGCCTTGAGAGAGGTTTTCTGTGTCTTTGGGAAAGGCTTTGAAAAATTCTCAGAAGGCCAGGGGACTTCGAGCCTTCCGAGAAGGCCCGCCCCTTCTCACTTCCCCCCGCGCTCGCCGCCAATCATTCGGTATACCTTCTAAATTCAGTATTTTGCGTCGACTAGTGTTTGGTAGTCGATAGGGTAGCGCCGATCTAACGTCGATTACCGTCGACTACAATCAACCCGCATGGTAAGGATGGACAACCTTCCCAAGGGTACCGTTGCGTCCTTGCCTCCCCAGTCCATCCTTGGCCCTTTTCGTTGGCCTCGCCCCGCTCGAGAAGCTTCGACATGGCCTTCCAATGCCCTTACATCCTTATCGTGCGTCCTTATGGTACGGGTCAACTGTGCCTTTTAAATTCCGTATTTAACGTCGACTAGCGTCTGGTAGTCAATGAGGTAGCGTCGATTTAGCGTCGACTAGCGTGGTTGAGCGTCGATTTAGCGTCGATTGGCGTCGGTTAGCGTCGGTTAGCGCGTCGAATATCGTGGGTTCGCAAGGGCCATCAACATCAGGATGGTATGGGAGGCTCCCATGAGTTGCCACGCAGCCTCAGCGGCACCGCCGTGGGAGTCCTTGGATCTGGGCGGCGCAGAAACAGCGACGGTCAGTTTTTGTCGTTCTCGTCGTCTGAATGTCGTTCCCACGCCTCGGGGTTTTGAACAAAACAACTGGGGAGGTGGTCGAAGGCTCGGGGTGCCGACGTGACGAAAAATAGCAACGTCGGACGAGTGGGTATCCACTAGCGGGAATTTTGGAAGCCCGCCGAAAGCTGCCCCCAGCAGTTCTTCTTTTCTGGCTCTGCAGCGTGGCCCCTGACGGTCACCAGAAAAAGTTAAAACGCGAGTGTAATCGAAACGCTCAGGGAACATCAATGATTCTTGCCTCTTGGGGCTCCCTTGGCGATGCTCATGGCGCCTTCTTGGTGCGTCTTTGGGGTGTCTTGGGCCGTCTTGAAGGTGTCTTGGGCCGTCTTGGAGCGCTCTTGGCCCATTCTTGGGCCCCGCCGGACCGTTTTAGAGTAGAGTTGCCCACAGAAGGCCAAACTGGTTTGAAGATGGCCCGACAGAGGGGGGAACGCTTTTCCGCGGAGGGTGTGCTCAGTGCCGGGACCCCCCCCTGCCTCGACCTCCTCCCCAGACCCCGCCTATCCCCAGCGGGGAGGGGATCAAACGGAAGGGGCCTGCCCTCGACTCGATTACGACGTCGCTCGGTTTCCCTCGGGCCAGCGAGCTTGGAGTGCCCAGGTGGTTGCAAGGAACGGTGGGGAGAGCTTCGCATGGAAAAGCGTCTCTCAGGACCACACCAGGCCGACCACCCCAGGACCCCCTCACACACGTCAACAGGGTTGGCAGATTCATGTCGTGCGGGAGTTGGCCCATGCGCATGGCCGTCTCGCCATGCTCGAACACTGTGGCATGGCGGCGAACCCCATGCTCACTTCGCATGGAACTCACACACCCAAACGGCCGCATTGCCTCTAATCCTTCTCCTGCAGCTCGTGCTCATCCTGCTTAGCTAGTTTTTGGCCCAGTATACGTTCTGATTGAAGGGTTGATTCATTCGGCCTCGTAGTTACAGTGTTGCAATAACTGCTTGCCTCATACCCTATGGATTTTCTCAGGTGCTGGAGCGGTTCTACGAGGGTTTGGAAGTTGCAGCAGCAGCTCTGAAAAACGTCACCAACCAACACCGTCTACCCACGATGATGGATATCGGGTGCCTGACGGTATTGCTCGGGAGCTGGTTGCCAACCTTCTTTCACGACCATGAAGCAGCATTATCCTGCGATCTTGCAGAGAATTCGGCCACCGAGCTTCAGGATCCTATCAAGTTGCATCTGTTTCACCTGACAGGAGCAGTCGATCGCGCAGTACGCGACTCCCTGGGCTTTGCCGATGTGTCCGTCCGCCCCACGGTCAGTCACGCCAAAGGGATGCAGACACGTTCAAGAGGCTCACGCCACTCCGCCGATCCCAGGAGAGGAGGAGGAGGAGGAGGAGGAGGAGGAGGAGGAGGAGGAGGAGGAGGAGGAGGAGGAGGAGGAGGAGGAGGAGGAGGAGGAGGAGGAGGAGGCGAGGAGGCGGAGGAGGCGGAGGAGGAGGAGGAGGAGGAGGAGGAGGGAGGAGGAGGAGGAGGAGGAGGAGGAGGAGGAGGAGAGGAGGAGGAGGAGGAGGAGGAGGAGGAGGAGGAGGAGGAGGAGGAGGAGGAGGAAGAGGAGGAGGAGGAGGAGGAGGATGGGTCACGTCCACGGGTGGGGCCTCTTGAGGGCCTCTTGGGCACCTCTTGGGGGCCTCTTCGGGCCTCCTGGGAGCTTCCTGGGCGCCTGATGGTGGTCTCGTCTCGGGTCCTCCTGGGGCGGAGGGCGGGGAATGTCAGCTCGAGTTACCTTTAAGTCGGGCCTGTCCCTCTACAGGGGGGACATTCAAAAATAGTAAAAATTGGTCTGGGGACTCATTTTTTAGTATTTTTGGGCATCTTTGGGGTATTTTTTGAGTATGTTTTACTTTTCGTCCAAAATCCCCCTGTGGGGGGACAGGCCCGACCTAAAGTTACCTCTCCTGGGCCCCTCTTGGGGCCCTGCTGGAGGTCTCTTGGGCAGTCTTGAGGCTATCCTGGTCGTCTTCGAGGACTCTTGTGCGTGTTGGGAACCTGTTGGAGCGAGCGCACATCGATCCTTGGACCTCTTGGAGGCCACACGGTGTAGAAACAGAGTCTCTTGGAGGCCATCTCGGGAGCGTCGATGAGCCCGGAGAGCCAATCCCCCCCGACCCCCGAGGCCCTCCCCCAGGCTCCCCACCTGGGCCCCCCCCACCCTGGGGGAGGGGGCAAAGGGGAGGGGCACAGCCAGTCATCTCACACGCCCTTGCACCGCCGGCAAGCGGGGATCGGCGGGCTTCAGCGACGCGGATGTCGACGCTCAAACGCCACGGGAAAGCGCAACTGCCGAGCACCAGAGGATGTTTGTAGAACATTTGAGTGCGGTGAAGCCGTTTCAGAAGTATCATGTGAAATTGAAGCGGCTGCCATTGAGTGCATAGTTGGTCCCATCGAGATAGATCGTTTGTTTGCTCAAAGTATCGAGCGGAAGGCGGTAGGATGTTTTGAAAAGAGATTTCAGGCAAACACCGCCGCGCACCGTGCAGTTCGAGTGTTGAAAGTGGCCCAGAAGCGCACAGAGTTGCCCGCCCGAGCCGATGAATGTTCCCTCGTTTCTTTTTGAGCTGCTCAGCGAGGGCGATGATGCGGGCGAGGAGGACGACGCCCGCGGCGACGACTGCGACGGCGCCCGACGCCCGCGAGGCGGTGTGGGGCGACACCCCGCGAGGGCACCGCGTGGTCGTGCACTACCGCACGGGCATGTGGTCGCGGCGGGCCCCGCCCCAACAACGGAAGTGGAGAGGCGGACGAGGACGAGGAGGAGGAGAATGGGGGAGATGAGGACGCTGATGCCGGTGCTGGCGATTTTGACTTTGGTGGGTTATGATGGTGAGGACGGCGATGATGAGGATGATCAGGAGAGCGACGATGAGGAAGGTGAGGATTATGCCCCCGTGTGCTAACACGCATGTCTGTCCTCTTCCTTTCCCGACGTTTGTGTGGCCATCCAGGATCAGGCGCTCGGTCGTTTTTTGAATAATGGTTGTGTGCTGCTGCGGGCCCTCGGGCCTGCGCTCTCGATGCCGCGTCGCGGCGGAGCGAGAAGCCCACCCTCCCTCTAGTGCCCACCATGCCGCCGCGCAGGAGGAAGGCAGAGGGGAGGGTGGCGCAGCGGAGGACTGCAGAGGAGGGTCGAGCGTGCGTGGCCGCGTTCCGCACGACCCTCCGGGACGGGAGCCAAGCCGCCACTGGGAGGACCGCGGAGGGAGGCCGAGGGCGCGCGGCAGCGCGCCGTGCGACCCTCTGGGCGGGCGCCAGGCCGCCAGGTGGGCAGCGGCGCCCCTCCCTCGCCGAGAGCCCGCAGTCGGGCGGAAAGGACTTGGCAGGAGGTCCGGGGAGGGCGCGTGGCGTCGGAGATCGCAGCCAAGATGACGCTGGCGCCGTTTGGTCAAGGAGGCCGTTTTGTGTGCTTCGCCTTGCCGTTTTGCTGCCTGTTTCGATGGAGGTGCAGTTGTTCGGTGCCAACATGCAAAGTGTAACCATCCTCGCACCTTGAGGAGCGCTCGCACGCTCACTGGTTGCCTGTGCTTTGCTAGCCGTGAAAAAAAGAGGCCGACGGCACGCGCAAGTTCGTGGGCGGGCACGTTGTCGCGGCCAATCCGGTCACGTGCCATTTTTTGTGTTGGAGAGAGCACGGGCTCGCATCCTTCTTCGTCTCGGCCTACGGGAGCGGCGAAATCCCATGGCTCCAGAGCGTCAGACCTGTCGTGGGACGTAGACCTGTCGTGGGACGTCGCGGTGAATATCTGAGGACGTTCATCAACGGAGTCCCGGACCCCTTGCGCCCGTGCCGTTATAGGTGCTTCAGGTGCCACAGAAGCAAGCAAGCAACACGGCGGTGCGAATGTATGGATCAGGCCAGGGTCCGATAGCGTGAAGGCCGGATGGTTCATTTTTGAGGGACGAGCATAAGAAAGAGTCGCCGTCGCAGCAGACCAAATTCATCGAGTTCGCCATCGATGCAGAGCTCGCGAAACACAAGGGCGGCCCAGAGGTGCCGAACGCCCGTCTGATAGACGTTTACGAGGCCGTCCTAGTGTCCGAGCGTCGGGGAGCAGCAGCCGACTTCGCGATCACCCTCGGGGGGGGATAACACATCATGCACGTGTGCCCGTGCTGCAAGGCGCCCTCCCCGCGAGCCGAAGGAGTGGGCGCGTTGCGCGACGCCGATGCACGTGGGTGATCGCGCGAGCCTTCGGCTTCGCCAGTGCCCCGAGGTCGGCGCCTCCTGAGGTCATCGATGCCGCGCGGGCCGCGGCGTCGGTGTTCTGGTCGCGCTTGCCGTCGAAGTCGCCGAAGGAGAAGTAGCTGGACTTCTGCTTGTCCAGTGGTGGTGGTGAACATCGGGTCGACTTCGGGGAGCTGGCGTCGTCGTGCCAGTGACCGATCTGTCCGCAGCTCGTGCCTCTCGTCGTGCGCCTCAGCTTCTCGATCCTTGACCTGTGCTCCGAATTGTCGCCAGATCTCTTGCCGTTGCGATGCCGCGGCCGATCCCGAAAGCTTGCCGCAGAGCCGCCTGAGCGCGACTGACTCTTGCCGCGGCTTTTCCCGTGGCCCTTCGTTTGGAATGTCTGCTTGTCCTGGGCGATGGCCGTGGAGCTCTCCGACGCTTTCTTGTGCATCTGGTCGCCTTCTCCAAGCTGGCCTCCTCCTCGCCTATGTAAATCTCGGGCTCCTGGGCAGCGCGCGGCTGGCCGTCGTCGTCGTCATTTTGTTCGTCGCCCTCTTCGATGCTGGCCGGCCGAGCCGCTCGGTCGGGGGGGGGGCGCTTCGGCCCGAATCGCGTCGGTCGAGAGTCATCGCGCTGCTCCTGGTCATGGTTCCAGATCTCGCGCTCGTGGATGTTCGGGTGATGTTCGGACGCAGCATCCGCAGGGCCGTGGCGAATGCGTCCTTGTCGCGCCGGTTGCCCGTCGAGCTGATGATGCTCGCGTGGTCCGATTTCTCGAGTCCCAAGAACTTCAGCAGCAGGTGGACTTGCAGATCGTTGGAGATGCTGGTTTCCTCGCTTCTTGAGATCCTCGAACGCCCTCGAGCGCCGAGGATGTGCTCCTGCGCGCTTTCGCTGGGTGCCCTCCACGCCGACTTGTCGTGCAGCCTCCGTCGGACAGCTCCGCCGCCCTGATTGGGCGCTCATTGAGCTCCGACTCGCCGAGGGTCGTGAGCAGCAGCTCCAGTGCGCCAGTAGTCGCTCGCCTCTTGACATAGCTGCCCTCGACGATCTCTTCTTCGAAGGTCAGAGGCTGGGAGTGCGTGTGAGGCCTCGCACCGCGTCGTAGGCCGTCCCGCTGAGCCCGTTCCGGAGGTCGACAGGCGTCGCTTTTTGGTTCTCGTCGCCCATCCGCCGTAGGGCTCGTCGCGGCCCTCTCCTGGTACGCTTCGAAGAATGCAGGGTCACCGTCGTGCAGACGGATGTTCAAATTCTGTTTTGCTGATCTTCGCCATCTGGTCGTTCAGCACGTCGACAGCTCCGATCGCAGTGTTGCGCGCGTCGAGCGTAGTGTGCTCATCGCTGTCGGTGGTGTGCCAAGCCGCCCAGGCCCAGCACAAGAGAGGGGCCGCCAACCTCTTCGCTGTGGATGCCCTCCAGCTCCTCGCTGGATAGCCACCGCCTTTGCCAAGGGCGTGAACGCGGTCACCTCCGCGCGCTGAGCTGCGGAGGCGGGAGCTGGCCGAGGGCGAACTGGCCAGCTCGCTACCATCAAGTGACGGCCGCCGCCGTCGCAACACATTTTCTGGTCTGAACCCGTACACTCAAGAGCTCTGAACCAAGACAGCGTCGGAACAGACACGCATCGGCAGCAGACACGATTTCGAGGGGAAGCAAGGCGACGATCTCTATTGCATTTCAGAGGAGGATGATGAGGATAAAGAGGAGGACGAGGAGGAGGAGGATTCATGGTAGTAGTAGCAAGATTTAAATATTTACCACGTGCAATATTTAGTAATAGTGCATATTAGCAGGACCATTCATGATATCAGTAATCGTAGCACATACCATCAGTAATCATATTCATAATCGTCATAACAAGTCTAGGGGGAATCATACTACTAATGGTACAAGTAGTATTTGTATGCTCACTAATAACACAAATAATGCCATGCAGTAAAGAATTAGGGTGCTACTCGTACCAATCATACTTTTACCACCAACAGCCATACTCATACGAATAGTCGTACGGGTACTACTAAGCATACTATTAACATTGCGTAATCCACATAAGAACACGTAGCACTAGTGTTATCCATTTTAACACGGAAAACATACTAATATTTGTAATACTAATACTCTGGGTAATAATACTACTAATCGTACTATTAATAAGAATAACACGGCTACCAATGATACGATTCGTATTATTTTGATATCTGTTAGTGGTAATGCTCTTACTGCAAGTAATGCCAGTACTAATATGAATACTAATGGTTTTAATACTAGTCATAATACCAATCATGATGGCCATACCAGTAGGAATATTGATATTACTACCTTTATGAGTAGTACTATTATGACTATTGTTAATACTACGGAGTAAGAAAAAACGAATGCCGCTGCTACTATTGCTACTGATACTCCTGATGCTACTGCTAATAACAACGATAGGAGGATGAGGAGCAGGAGGAAAAGGAGGAGGAGGAGGAGGTATTTGCACAGCAGAGGCGACGCTTCCCCCGGCGGCGCGGGGAAGCAAGATCACGAGCCCATGGCCACTCGGACTCACGCCTCATGAGGCGGAGTGGTGGAGCAGGCTCGTGTGATAGTCGGTTTGATTTGATTTGTTTTGTCCTCCCCCCTCGGTCCGAGGTCGTGGGGAGGGTCTTTCCTCCGCCTTTGGGCGGATTGGGGCGGCCAGGCACCTGGGCTTCCTCCCTGCACCAGTAAGGCGGCCCTGGCCTTCGGGCTCCGTTCTACTGGTGTGGAGGGGAGGTGGGCGATGGTGTTTGGGGGCCCCTCGTGTGCAGCCCCTTCGACCATGGATTGGTGAGAGTCAAGAGAGAGCCACTGGAAAAGGAGGAGGAGGAGGAGGAGGAGGAGGAGGAGGAGGAGGAGGAGGAGGAGGAGGAGGAGGGAGGAGGACCCCCCCCCTGCTTGGATAGCATACGCCCGTCGCCGACTCGGGGATAGAGGGGGACCCCCCCGCCGTGGGGGCGGCCGGTGCCGCCCTAGCGGCGGCGTGTGAATCTAGCTGGTGACCAGGCCACAGGGCTGAGGGAGGCGGATGGGGCCTTTCGCGCGGCAGAGTCCGTGCGGCCGTGCGGCACAAGGGCTGGACGGCGGGCCGTTCTGCGGCGCGCGGCGGGCTTCGTTGTGCGGCCGTGCGGCGCAGGCGTTGTGCGGCGCGCGGGCGCGTTGCGCCGCGCCAGTACCTGGCAGCCTCTGCGGGCAATGCTTCCAGCGGCCACTTGGACGAATTACGTGGGTGTGGGGTTCGGAGGCCCGCTTGCGGAGCACCCTGTTCAGAAAGAGGAGAAGGAGAAACATGAAACAGAGGAGGAAAAGGAAGAGGTGGAGGACGAGGGGGAGGAACAGGAGGAGGATGAGGAGAAGGAGGGGGATGATGATGATGATGATGGTGATGATGATGATGATGATGATGATGATGATGATGATGATGATGATGATGATGATGATGATGATGATGTTGCTGCTGCTGCTGATGATGATGATGATGATGTTGCTGCTGCTGATGATGATGATGTTGCT